GCATAAAAAAATAAAATGATCATTTAAGGCGTTTTCGTATAAAAACACCTTAAATGATTAATTATAAAAAGAACATCTCAATTAAGGTGTTTGTATATAAAATTACCATAAATGATTGATCAATTAAGGCATAAAAAAATAAAAGGAATAACAAAAAAATCAATTAAAATATTTGTTTTCTTTTGCCGCTAAAGGCATCATTTGTCATTTTTGGTATTTATTATTAATAAAACAAAATAAAAAATTACCATCATATATATCAAAGATATTATGATAATTAATATACATGAATTCCTCTTAACCAAATGAGTGAATATGAATACGGGATGCGCTGAAAATGAAAGAAACTTTGAATATCATAAATTCCTGAGGATCACACTTTTCTTTGAAATCTAAAATTTTGCAAACCAAACACACTCTAATTCTTTAGTATCCTAGAATCTTCTGCTTAATTGGGCTAGGACCTTTCTTTTCATTAGATAATAATAGATTTGGTTCAAAAAAGAAATGTAGCTTAATTGCTTGAAAGGGTAAGCTTATTCAAACGCTCCAATGTCTAATCATGTGTCTTGTACCTTTATTTATATAAAGACTAAAAGCAAATTATTTTTCATAGTTATTACAAGTAAATCTATTATAATCAACAATTATATATAATATTATATTTATAAAATAAATCAATCAATATAAAATTAGATTAAATCCAAATTTGATGAGTTTAAACTTGAAATCTTTACCTTGAAATCTTTAAAGTTTCAATTTTGAAACTTTTTTTTTATTCATTAAGACAAGATCTTATGGAAATAAAAATGATAAGAATCTGTGGAAAAAAACACAATCCAACTATTTTTTGGTCAATAGAGTCCAACTAAACTCATTAGCCAATTAGCAAGAATTTCAATGGATAACACATAAAACATAAAATGAAAGTGGCTAAAAAAAACGAATTTTGATACATAAAATTAAAACCTAACTAATTTTATGGAATTGACAAGAAAGGGTCATGTCGATTGTAGTAGTACTTTGTTTTTTTTTTTCTATTAATATAAAAATAATGCATTAATATATAAATAGTATAATTTTTGGTAGAATTCATAAATTTTAAGTTTAGTTAAAATGATATATAATGATACCTAATTGTTGAAAAATCAACACGCACGCGCAACACCAACACACATAAATAATAGAGTAAGTCCAAAACAAGAACAAGAACACACAAATATATCCAGTCTAACTCAAAATGCCTTACTTCAAACTCAATCTACTAACAAATAAATCTTACAATTATAAGACTTTTAAAATGAGAAAAGACACTAAAAGCTCCTTATTTAAAAGTTAATTCAAAACTTAATTACACCATTTTAATAGCCTACTTACTTAGTTATTTTCTTAATGTCTAACTATCTGAGAGTATCAAACTAAAATTAAAGCATCTTATTTATAAGGGTGAAACCTTTATTAAACTCCTAATGTATGATACAAGATAAATTTTTAACTTTTATGACTTCACTCAATTTTCAATATGGGATTAAAAGATTCAAGGCACATTTCAACAAATTTTTCATTGACTTGAATCTCCAAACATTTTAACAGTATTTGCAAAGCTGATACACTTGCCCTTTTTCTTTTCCTTCAATGCAGGAATCCCAATAACTGAGCCTCCATCAAGCATATACAAAGTGATTTTTTACTTTATTTCCTTATAGAATGACACTACCATTCTTGTACATTTTACATCAATCATTTCATCCATAGTATGTATATCCATGATAAGCTAATTTACCCAAAGTAATCAAATTGTAATTATAACTCGATACACATCTTACATGACAAAGAATCTTAATAACACCATCATGAGATTTAAGGTGAACACTTCCAATGCCTTGAATTTGCACCTTTTCATTGTTGGCAACCATAATATCCCCATATTTCTCATTCTCTTCTAACTTCACAAAGCAACTCCTATCATTATAAATATAGATTGTAGTAGTTGAATCTAAAACCTAACCTTTATCACATTTCAAAATCAGAGTCTTATCCACATAAGTCATCAAAATGAAATCATCATCATCGAAGACATAACAACAATAATATCACTTTTTACTTGATTTGATTTTTTTTCATCATTTGCCCTTTTGAAAGCAGCCATATCCCTTATCAACTTCTTACAATGCACTTATATATGTCCCTTTTCACCATAATAATAACATTTTATATTATAGTAATATTTGTCTCTTGACTTAGATCTTTATCTTAATTCATCAACTCTCTTTTGAGTCTTTTTCGATCAGAACCCTCTATAGTTAGTGCACATGTTCCCATAAATCTTTCATTCTCACAAAATAGAATAGTCAAATCATCCAATTTCAAAATAGACTTGCCCATCAACAAAGTCTGAACTAAAGGTCTATAAGACTTAAGCAAAGATGATAATAAAATTAAGCATTCTCTTCATCTTTTAACTTATCAATTGGAATAGCTAACAATCGATAAACTAATCTATTAAATTCATTCGAGTAATTATGAAGACTATACATTCTTCCATCTTAAAAAAATATAGATCTATTTTTAAACATAATTTATTAGTTAATGACTTCGATACATAAATACCCTAAAGCTTATCTCATAAATTTTTTAAAATATTTTTAGTCAACACACCATACTTTACCTCTTGGGCTAGCTTCAATCTAATAGTATTAACATATTTCTTCTGAATTCTATTCTAATTACTATCAGATATTTTCTCAGACTTATTACTTTCTAATACCTGATCTAACCCTTATTGTACTAATAGATCTTGAATCGTACTTTATCATAATATAAAATTGATCTTTCATCAAATAAAAGAATCTTAAACTTGAGCATAGACATACTAGAAATACATTTTTCAAACATTGTGAAATACTTGCACTTTTTTCACGATTTCTTAGGTTTGCCTCCCCTCTTCCCACGTCTTAAACTTTATCACTTTGATATTACTTGTTGAAAAATTAATATACACTTGCAACATCGACACACACAAATAAATAATAAAGTAAACTCAAAATAAGAATAAGAAAACATAAATATATTTGGCCTAACTAGAATGACTTACTTCAAACCTAATCTATTAACAAATAAATTTTATAATTATGAGACTTTTGAAATGAAAAAAATCATCAAAAACTTTTTATTCAAAATTTAACAAAAAACTCAAATACACCATTTTAATAGTCTATTCATTTTACTATTCTCTTAGTATCTAACTATTTGAAATTATCAAACTAAAATAAAAATATCTTATTTATAAAAATAAAATACCTTATATCTTTATTAAACTCTCGATTTAATATACAAATCGAACTCTTAACTTTTATAACTTCACATCATTTTTAATATAAAATTAAGAAATTCAAGCCAAACTTCAACGCTAACATGATAATGGGCAATTTAGAAGTATGAAAACTTGACTAAGGTTTCATATTGTTGACAAATAAATAAACAAAAAAAGCTTTTGACACTTGTTCAATTTTAAGCAGACACCTAAAACACAAAAATCACGCAATCATTGTAGCAGCAGCAAATACTTCTATTTCAGGAGTGACCATATTTACTGTAGACATTAATATATATATTTATTTACAGCATTAATGACATTTTCGTCTTCGTCTGTAACACCCAAGAATTTTCCCGAGAAGAGGAAAACTTTTAAACACTTTTTTTCCACGTGCAAAATTTATAGTATCAGTTAGTGTCAGTGTCAGAAGTACGTTAATGCAAGGGAATGGACTGTGTGTTCCCTAGAAGGTGGTACAATTTTCCACCGACAATGTCATTGTTAATGTAACGTATCAATGTTATTAATACAAAAATTATTAAATTACATTTATTATGATGTATTATTTGTTATGGGATTCGAAAGCTTGTCTCTTGCATTAAAAAAAGAAAAAGAGTTTCGATAGAAGAAATGTGATGCTTACATATAAAATTACATTCATTAATTTTGAAAAATTATAGTTTATGTGGTGTAATGTATTAAATATATATTTTTTGAAATTACATGCTAATTAACATTAACTAATGCCTGTTAGCACAGTTAACAGGACTCATTAGTCGGCAAGTGGGGAAACTTCCTTGGAAGTAAAAGTAGAAATTAAAGCGAATTGAGGCTGACCTAATGGAAATTTCTTTGATGCTATGACCATTTTAATATCTTGGAAAATTTCGTCCACTTTGGTGTTCGTTGTCATGCTCATGAAATTTCCTTGATCTTATTGACTTTATCAAGGAAGTTTTCTTGGTGAAACCATATAATGTTTTTGAAATGTGAAATTTAAATGATGATTATTCTTAATAACTATCATAGGATAAAAAAGAATTCCAAAACATTAGTTTTGTGGGGGCCTATTATTGGTTCAAAGGTATCAAAAGTGTAAAGGACGGTCCAAAAACATTTTTTATTTATTGCTTAATGAGCTTTACCAAATATAGAAGCAGAACATATGAAAAAAAAATGTAAAAGAGTAAAAAATTTATTTGAACTAAACTTCAATAATTATCTAAATTTTTATTTTTTTATAATTAATTAAATTTTAAAATATTTATTTTTATTAATTAAGCTTTTATAAAGAAAATATGGTAAATTATTTTATCCAATTAAAAGTTTAATTGAGTGAAAATAAATATATAAGAGTTTAATTGTGTGAAAATAAATGTTTAAAAATTTAATTGATTTGAAATAACAAATTTAAAATTTAATTGATTATAATAAAATATCAAAAATTTAAATGATTATTGAATCTTTGTTTAAAGATTTTTTTATTTTTATGCCAAAAAAAATTATACACATAATAATTAGTTAATCAAGATTTAATTTCTAATAAATTACAAATTCCTGGATTAGAATCCAAGCAAGGTATCACCTCACTGCCAAGGGGATTGGGTAATCTCAAAAAATGCCCAAAAATTCTGGGGTAAAGTGGTAATTTCAATAATTAATCTATAATTTGTTAATCGAATCGTAGACTTGGAAAGAAAAAAAATCTAAGTCGTCTGCGACTCAGAGTCAATCAAACTCTCCCACAGTTCTAACAAATCAAATCCCTCCTCTCTTTCCCCTGCAATGGCGTCAGATCTGGAGATCAAAGCCAAAGAAGCCTTCATCGATGACCACTTCGAACTTGCAGTCGATCTCTACTCCCAAGCCATCGAACTTAACCCTAAGAACGCCGAGCTCTACGCTGACCGCGCTCAAGCCAACATCAAACTCAATAGTCTCACTGGTATCTCACCCATTTTCTCTTTCTATCGTACTTTATAATTTTTTAAAAAATTAATTTAATTTTTTTGTAATTTTGTTGGCGCAGAGGCTGTGGCGGATGCAAACAAAGCAATTGATTTGGACCCCTCCATGGCTAAAGCTTACTTGCGTAAAGCGTGAGTAGATTTTCCCCTGCTTTCTTTTCTTTTTCTTTAATTTGATAATTTGGGCTTGTCTAATGGTTTATTTATTTTTTTAAAATAATTTTAATTATAGATACTGTTGCTTTATTATTTTTCTCCTCTTTCCCTTGCACCATCTGTTACTTCCTGCACTAAAATCAACTGTTTCCGTCACGCCTTTAATATAATTACTAAACGAATTCCTGAATTTTTCTGATGAAGACTTTCACTACGCAATTCTAATAATTGGTAAAATAGCTAAATTCATTTTTGCCCTTTTTTTCCCCCAAAGATTATCTATTGTCTCTGATGCAGAAGCCTTTATAACAACATGTAAATTGAATATCTGCAGTACTGCATGCATGAAGCTTGAGGAGTATCAAACTGCGAAGGCTGCTTTGGAGGTTGGTGCTGCTTTGACCCCGGGAGAGTCAAGATTTTCCAAGTTGATCAAAGAATGTGAAGAGTGCATTGCAAGTACGTAGCCTTAAAAATTTCCTTCTAGGAAGGGATGAATTTATCTACAAGAATTGCTATATATTAAAAATATCCTATAGCACTTGAGTATTTGGCTCAATGGTTGGTGCATGATCCTTGTTCAAGAGCATGGTTTCAATCTACTGTCTCAAATAAAAAAAAAAAATACCCTATATCATCTTAATAACCTCCATTTTCTTAATAATGAGTTTGTGTGTTTGTTTAGAGGAAACTGGCGATTTACAAAAGCAGACGCAGGAAGAGGTGACAACAAATGTTTTTCCTGCAAAAGAAGTTGAGCCGGACAAGGATATGCCTGACCCAGTAACTGTGGCAGCAACACCCAAACCAACTTACAGGTTTGTGCCTATGTATTCTCTTTGTAATGTCAGTGCTTTATACGTGGTTGGTGTGTAGTTAATTTGGTTAAAGATATTTGTGCAGGCATGAATTTTACCAGAAACCTTATGAAGTGGTTGTCACAATATTTGCTAAGGGCATACCACACGAATGTGTTTCTGTAGACTATGGTGAACAAATAGTAAGTTGCACGTTAATTCATTTGTCTTTGTTTTACCTTTTTGTGTCTCTGTCCTTGTGCATTCCATCAATACCATTTAGTTTGTTACTTTATGTAGGCTGAAGATGTTCTATCTTTCTTTGTTGCTTTGCAGCTAAGTGTTGCCATCAATGCTCCTGGTAAAGATGCATATCATTTCCAACGTCGCTTGTTTGGAAAGGTATTACATGAAATTAATGTTGTCAAGATTCTGGTTTGTTGGAGTAGTAAGTTACATAAGTTTGGCATTTTCATTTTGGGCAGAGGTCCATGCTTTGAACTCTGTAGTTAATACAGGCAACTATTGAAATGTTTTCCTGAAGTGTGGATTGCTTTTTTGTTTGGTAGTGACAAATAGTTTTTTGTTGAATCTTTTGCTATGTAATTGTATCTCTTACTTACATGCTAATTCTATCCTTGTGGTGGTTTGCTATGTTTGAATAGATAATACCTGACAAGTGCAGATATGATGTTTTGTTAACCAAAATTGAGATTCAGCTGGCAAAAGCTGAACCAATTCAGTGGGCATCTCTTGAATTCAGCAGGGAAGTTGTTGTTCCCCAAAGGGTTAATGAATCTTCTAGTAAGTTGATCTCTGTAGCATGTTGTTTATATTACTAGTGGTTATACCATGAGACAACCAAGCATCCAAGCTTACTTTTTCATACTATACTGACTTGTTTATTCTCTCCGTGCACCCATTTGTGTGTTTGTTTGATGCTGTGTGTATGCTTGTGCAGTTTTGTGCCTAGATGTGAATGTAGTTTAAATTTTAAATTTTACTGGCTAAAATAAATTGTGAACACTTTATGCAGGTAAATCCTTCTTAGTAACGAAGTTTTAGTTTCTAAGCTAGTATTTGGAATAAATGAATTTTGCAAAATGTAATGAGATCCACTTGAAATCTATTGTTTAGAAACCAATAAAGTTTTGTTTTTAAACTTGGTAATTTACTTGTAAATAGTTTCTACTATATCTTGCTGAAATTAAATAAATTTCATCTTCATTTGGTTTCAAACAAACCCAAAGCAATATATTATTCTGCAATATGGGGGGGTGTTGAAGCGTAAAACCAGAACACATTCATAGTTGCAGTGATCTTTTTTTGCTCGCAATTTTCAGGCTTTTCGTTGTGGATGCTTTTGCAATTGAAAATCTTCTCTAGTTTCATTTGATGGGTTGAATTTGATCTTTGAAGGCTCATGATAATTAGTATTCTAATAATTGTGCTGCAGGAAGCTTTAATATTTCATCTATTTAATTATTTGGCAAGTGGTGGATCGTTTTATCCACTCTTGGTCATAAACTAATTCTTGTGTTTGTAGTTACTACCATTCAAAGACCAGAGTACCCATCCTCCAAACCAAAAAGGGTTGATTGGGATAAACTTGAAGCTCAAGTAAAGAAGGAGGCATGTTGAACATCAAAGCTTATTTTTCATTTGTTTCCCTTGCGTTTTTGGGTCAACATACCCACTGGAAGTTGTGTTACAATTATTGTTAACACATTTGTGGCTGGTTTTCAGGAGAAAGATGAAAAGCTGGATGGTGATGCTGCTTTGAATAAATTTTTCAGGGACATTTATCAGGATGCTGATGAGGACACACGAAGGGCCATGCAAAAATCTTTTGTAAGATATTTTAATACAAGAGATTGTTTAATTTATCCCTTCAATATGCTTAACTCTGGTCAATGGATAAAATAATTGATAGAATACAGTGTCCTTAATATATGCCGTGTGCATTATAATTTTCTGGTGGTGCATTGTAGGTGGAGTCAAATGGGACGGTGCTTTCGACAAACTGGAAAGAAGTTGGTGCGAAGAAGGTGGAAGGAAGTCCTCCGGATGGTATGGAGTTGAAGAAGTGGGAGTACTAAGGTTTTTGTTCCCAATGGGGAAGATTGTAACATGGACTGTGTTTTTAGTATGTGAATGTTTGTTTTGTTTTCTTCAATCTAATTTATAATGTGTTCCTTGGCTGTGTTTGAATGTCAAAATTTGCTCCTATGTAGCCGTAGTTTTTAGGGGTTTTTTTTTTTTGGGAGTTTGTGTAGTTATTTTGGTCAAAACTTCCACCCTGTCATTGTTGAACTTTTAAGCTGTGCAATTAAGAATGTGACTTGGTATTGTTCCTTTTATACCTTTTGATATGCCGGATGAAGCTACGATGAATTGTTTGGTGCTGGTGCCATTACATACGTTTGTGAACTCTGATTCTCCTGAAGTAAACACGTGTTCAAAAAATGTTCTTCCGTCCATTTTTCTGTGCGCCTTTTTTATGGGATGTTTTAAAATAATTTTTTCACTTTTTACATTTTATATTCTTTTTTATTTAAAAGTTATTTTTCAAATTTTAAATTTTTTACAATAAAAAATACGATATATCAATATTATTAAAAAATTTAAATACATAAAGTCATTTTTTTCTCTTTTTTTTAAAGTGAAAGTAAAAAAGAAATAAGAAAAAATTAAAAATTAAAAAGAAAAAGACGGGGGTATCGAAATACTAATGGTTGGATATGAAACAACATTACCCCTGGCTGTGGCCATCTTCTTATAACCTCATTGAAAACTTAATCTTTCTTATTCATACTCTTCTTATATAAATATATATAAATCAAAGTTTTTAACAAAAAAAATGTTAAATATGAATGGCTTATAATATTGACATGTGGATAATATTTATAAATTGTCACATTTTTTGTATTAATTATATTTATTCATATTTATTTCTTTTTAAATTGATGTAAATTGATTTGATTTTATAAAAATTTTAAAATATTTCAATGCATTAATTATATTTATTTTCTTTTAAATTTTTAATTGACTTACTTTTTATTTTCAATAAAATACTCTAAATTATAAATTAAAGCTAAATCAATAATACATTATAATCAAAGAATCTTTTAATAATTTACAAAATTAATAAATATTTTAATTATAGTCATTAAACATTTTTTAATGATTTAAAGAACTTCTATTTAAATCTAATTAGAAATATTATAAAAAAATTTAGTAACCACTATAATTACGATTAAGAGTTGATTTCTCAATTAATTATTTGATACATTCATATTTGATTAAATATTATATCTAACTGAGTAATGAATGTTATTTATGTATATATATATATAATATAATGATTTTATGGATTTAGATAAGATTAATGATACATTATAATATTATATCTTTATTTTTGTTATAAAATCAATTGTACATTATAATGTTAAATTTTACATATACGGGTTGTGATTAATAAGTTGTACATATCATTTTATATAAATATATAAAAATAAAAATTTTTGGTAAAAAAAAGAAAAAATTCAATTAAATAATATATTTTTTTGATATGTGAATTGTTTTGAACAATCGTTAAGTGTCCTAAATTTAATTATTTTGATTTAACTCCATATACATTTTATTAATTTAGAAAATATTTATTTGGTTAAATTAGGTTATTTATTTTCTTATAAATATCAAATATTCTTACCTTTTATAAATATGTTATAATTAAATCATTTTCAATCAAATTCAAATTTTAATTTTAAATATCAAACATGTATACCATAAATAAAAATATACTTTGAAAGTATTGACTATTTAATGACCGTGGATTTAGTATTTAATTAAGAAATAATTTATTTATTTATTAACTTAAATGAATATATAAGGCATATAATACTAAAAATTCAAATCTAAAATAAAAGTTTAATTAGTTTGAAACATATTTTTATATTTCTTTCCTCATAAGTATTAACTACAATTGGTATAATATATATTGTCTTACAAGAATTTTTCAAAATATAAAGTGTAGATTTTTCAAAATAAAAAAGATATATTACATAAGTAATTAATAATCCATTATAATTTTTTGATAAATTACTCCCAATTTATAAAAGTCTTTCAAATTCTTATTATAAATAGAGAATTCTATATACTAAGAGTACTAAGAGGTTACTTTTCAAAAGCCTCCAAATGCATTAATTTCATTATGATCAAGAAAATTTTGATCACCAAGTTACATGTCATTTTATGTTGATAATCTTTTTTCTTTGTTATGTTTGTAGGTTAATTTTATTTCCCTTTTATTCACTTTTTTTTATACATGTTCATACTCCATTCATCCTTTCATTTTCAACATTAGCTTTTTTTTTTTTTTTTTTTTGAATGGAATAATTTCATATGTATTATTTCTTTTTAGTTTTTAGTCTTTGGAGATTTTGTTCGATTTTTCTCCATAACTAATAATGGATGTGAATAATGTGAGATTTTTCAATTGAATTTGGAATTTGTTAGAATTTGACATAAGTTTTTGTTCTCCTATTTACCTTTTATTTATAATTTATTTATATTTAATATGTAATATATGGTTTCAATTTCATTCGCCAAAAAATGTAAATTCAATTTGATTTACTTTGACCTTTGTAAATACAATGCAAAGATGAACACCACTTATCCAAGGATTTGTTGTTGTTGTTGCTGCGAGCTCTATATGTCTTGTATTAAAGTAAGGGGCAGCACCAAGCAAAAGTTTATACAAAAAAAATTGATTTTAAGTGGAATAAATTTTTATTGTTTGGAATCAAACATTATTTAATTCTATATAAATATCACTATTAGATAAGATATGATAAAAAATATTTTTTTATATTATATACGCACATATTAATCTATAATATTTTTATTTTTGTATTATTTTATATTAAAATTTTTTTTTTATATAAAATTTATTAATTATATTATATATAATTGAGTTATATATATATATATATAATTACATATTTGTGTATAGCACAGATTTAAAACTAATTAATGATAATTACAAGAATTATTCTTGGGTTAACCTGACCCATAAGTCCAATCCAAGAGAGGTTTTATTTTTTAAAAAATAATTTTTGTTTGAGAGTAAGAAAGATTATTTTTGGAGCTACGCATTTTTTACGAGTAACAAAATATTAGCACAAACTTTTTATTAAAAAAATGGTCAAAATGTATATTTAATCTTTCTATAATAATTTTAATATTAAAATTCCAAGTCAATTATTAACAGGTTTTTTTTTTTTTGGTTAAATTCGATGATATAGATATTAATTTGTTGATATAGTATTGATTTGTAGATAATATTAACTTAAATTCGATAATATTAACTTAATTAGTACACTAAAAAAAAAATTCAAAGCTTAAAATCTTCGGATGAAAATAAAAAAGATACCTACATTACATTGAAGACATTGTGTGCTTTGTATTTGTTGTCTGGTGCTGTTTATTATTGGGTCAATTTTTTTGGTAAAAAAACAAGGAAGACTTAGAAAATAGAACATGAAAGAATCATAAATGATGATTAGATCCAGTAGAGGAGTTTAAGGAAGAAATGATCCTTTCTACTATTTACAAAATTAGGGAAGTTTTATTTTATTTTATTTTAGGACATAATATATTTTTATCTAAATTTATGATTGATATTTATTTAAATAATTTTTATTTATTTTCATTTTTAATTTAAAATCATTAAATTTAAATTATAAATCTAAGTGAAAGTACATTATTAATTATTAGATAAATTAATAAAAAATTTTGATTACCTTTTAAATAGTAAAAAGGATCATTTTCCATAATATTGTGCATGAAAAAAAATCATAAATGATAGTTGGATTCAGTCTTTAGGAAGGAAGATGAATGGTCAAAATCTACCATCCTAATATATAAACTTGTATATAATAAAATTACCGATAATTTATAAAAATAAATATGCAATATTTTAAAATATTAAATAAATAAATTTAAAAGTAATTCCTAATGATATTTAAATGAATAATTTTCTTTTTAATGTAAATATTAAAATAAAAACAAAGAGATGGAAAAGAAAAAAATCTTGACTTTATGATTGTTAAATTTTAGAGAGAGAATACAATTATTATTATTTTTTTAAGAAATTGAAGTATTTATAAATTTTGATTTGAAAATATAAAGTATAAAAGAAAACAATTTATAGTAAAAAATAGAGAAACTCAACTTTTAATGAGTTATTTTGTTAATTAATTTTATTTTTATTAAATTAAAATAAAAAACAACAAAAAATAATTTAATATTTCACGTAATCACATTCATATATAGATCGAAACTAGTTAATTTATTAAAATTTATCAAAATTAATAAAATCTATAAAAACAATCAATGTTATCTGATATTAAATTTTATATAAAAATTAATTTTAAATATTTCATATTTTAATACAATTAAAGCATACTGATATTGAAATGAAATTAATAACATTAATATGCACAGTAATACAAGGGGAGGCATTTGAAACGTGTGCGATTTTCTCTGGACTTGGTGCCGTCCCACTTAATGGCCCATTCTGTCTTTGTTATGGACAATTGCCATCTCCGCAAGCATTTCTTGGATGACTCAATTTTAGGGTTTCTGGTTTTTAATAGCTTTGTTTTGTTGGAATTTTATTGACTTTGAGTTTGGCGAGACTGTTAGTCTTTATGATTTGTAGGAGATTGAAACTGATTAGTTATTAGTTTATGGAATTGGAAGGTGGTTTGACCTTTGATTTTTCAAAAAAAAAAAAAAGAAAATCAAGTAATTTCTTTATACTAATAAATTAATATCATGTCAATAAATTAATGATTACATCATTAAATTTAATAAAAAAAATATTTTATTAATAATTAAATTAAAATTAAAAATATCGAAAAATACAAATAGTATCAATATTAAGATTATTGTAAAGGAATTAAATCTACATTTTAATCAAAATACAAGAATTGATAGCATAATTTGACAAAAAAAACTACAAAATAAAGCCAGCTTGATTATATTATTCGTTATCAATAAACCAAGACTAATTCGGGCCATAGGCCATGCGCATTCTAACCGAGAGATGACTTTGTGCTAGATTTATAAGACGGCTGAATGGCCCAAGTCTACACTCCGAAAGCTACTCTTTCAAACGACGTCCTGGATTCAGTCTCCAATTCCATCACCTACTTTTACAAAATTTTTATTTAAATTTTATAAATATAAGCATATATTTTTATTGTAATAAAAGAAATTCATATTTATTTATTTGTATTTAAATATGTTTTTATTTTAATATGAAAATTAATTTATATGAAAATTTTATTTAAATATAAATTAAAAAATAAAAAATTATTTAAATATAAATATAAAATTTAAAAATTTATTTAAATACTAAATAAAAATTAAAAAAATTTAAATACACTAAAATTCAAAATATAAAAATTTATCTCAATAAAATGTTAAAATTTAGGAATTTTTTTTATAATTATTTTAACCTTTTTCTTTTTGATTTTTCAGTATCGTTTAGCTTCTCCTCCTTATCTCCCAAAATCCAAGTTCCAATCCTTGATACGTAGAATTGCTTGGCACAGCCACGGTCAGGTATCTGATTCACCGATTGCATAGATCGGATCTGGGACGAACACAGCAAATAAATAAATAAATAGGAGCAGTGTATAAAAAGTAATCGAAAAAGAAGGAAAAAATGCAGTTCTTTGGAGGATCAGAGATCAGTCCATCACCGCCGACACCAACGACGGCGGGGAACAACGCCCACATGATGTACGTATTCAACCGAAACGGAGTGTGCTTGCTTTACAGGGAGTGGAATCGGCCTCTCCACACCCTCAACCCTCAACAAGATCACAAGCTCATGTTTGGTCTCCTTTTTTCACTCAAATCCCTAACTGCCAAAATGGATCCCACTAGGTCTCTCCTCCTTTTTCTCTCTTCGTTCCTTTCAGCATCATTTTCAGTCATGGATTTCTTTATTCTTTTTTCTGTTTATAATTTTCGAATTTGTTGATGATGTGCAGTGCTGAAAAGGGAAATCTAGGGGTCCCTCAGTTGCCTGGTCAAGGGTGTTCCTTTCATTGCTTCCGTACTAATACCTACAAACTTAGTTTCATGGAAACTCCTTCGGGGATCAAGGTTTTTCTTTTTTTTTTTTACTATTATTTTCAATTGTGTTACGGTGGTTTAGTTTAGATGCCGGATACTGATGAATTCATGACCAATTTGTAATTGAACTTAAATCACATATTATTAAGAGGGGTAGAAACAGCTCAATCTACAATTTGCCTCCAAATGCACTCAGCATTTTAGAGGTTGCTCTTTAGGTTCATTTGATGCGCTTGATGTTTTGCCTCACAGATGAATGGGATATGATACATGTTGTGAATGTTAGATCGTTACAGCTCTAACTTCAATAATTCCGAATGGAGCTGTGAGTTATAGGATTGGGCAGTTTCTAATTGTGGTTTCTAGTAATGTTGGAGAACTTAGAATTTTTCAACGTGATTAGCTATCTATCAGGGTAGTCCTTTGTCAAGTTAAATAAGCAGGGACGTAGGATTTGAAATTCATCAGAGATCTTACGGACATAATTTGCATCATGTTTCTATTAAAGCCCTGAACTTACTTGCCTTTATATTGTTGAATTCTTGGTTAATTTCTTAAAAGGTATCCTCCCTATTGGACTAGCACTTAAATTTAACTCCAAAATATAGCAAGAATTGAAAGCTTTATCTCAAAGGTTCTTCTATAGATTCATCACTCCTATGTGTCACCAGATGCCTCATATTGCTGAGAAGTCTAATGTGCTTCTTTTTCAAAATTACTAATTCAATGAGTAGTATGCAAAACCTTCTTTAAGGCTAGATACTAGGACAATTAAAATAATTCCATGGTAGCATTAAAGGCCATGCTTGACATTGTCTATAATGGCTAGTATTTTTGTTTTGCTCTATGTTTTTGACAACATTATTGCCACCCGCCTTTGATTTGGATATTTGTATATGTTTCTCAAAGAAATTCTTACTCTGCTACTCTATTTGTCCTTTTGTGCAGTTTATATTGGTCACTAATCCCAGGACTGGTGATCTTCGTGAAACACTCAAGTATATTTATAACTTGTATGTTGAGTATGTTGCCAAGAATCCACTCTATACCCCTGGGACTCCTATCAGGTAAATAACACCCCCTTGTTTTTCCAACCTGATAGCTTACATGCTTATCCTCTAAGGATTGATCTGATGTGACAACCACTGGTCATCACTATTGATTAATGCTGCATGTATTTACATATTTGGTTACCCCTGGGAACTGAAGTTTCTCACTATTTTAATCTTTGTTGAATAAAAACTAATGAATTGCACTGCATTATTTTCAAAATTAATGGTTATTTACGCAACCTTCTAACGAGTGATTTGTGACTTCCTATTTTGTGCTTTGAGCTCTTATTATGGTTATCTTCAAGTTTGTTCTCTACAGTTTCTGTTTTATGATACTACTTGTGCCTTGTAAATTTGTAATTAACTGGATGCACAATTTGTTTGAGATGAAAGTTGTTTTACTGTTCAGGTCCTTAAGGACCTTGCTTTGTCCATTTATGCTCTAGGGTGGATTCTACTAAATATTCTGTCTATTAGGGGTTGACAATAATGAAATCGACTAAGATAAATGATTAACATACAGTGCAACCATCTTCCGCCAATAGGTAAAATTACACGTCAACGGTACCTGAACTTGATGAGTAGCTCATTATTCAGAGTAATGTCGTTTTATTTCTCCCCAATCAATTAATACTGTAATTGGTTATGCTATTAATGAGTTTGTTAATGAAGGCAGATGTTCAGTCCAATGAGTGTCTTTGTCAAAGTTTTCAAATAGAATGAGGGAATTTTGCACTAGTATAGAAAGGAAGGCATTATAAATTAGTAGCCCAAGCCATGGGCTTGGCATCATTCTTGAATATGTTTCCTCTCTTTTTCTATATTTTTGGATAAGTACTGTTTCCTATAATGAAATGCCAAGAATGTTTATTATGTTAGCTCTATAGAGATGCATTAGCCACAAAGTTTAAATACATCTTTTCCAGTCAGTTATTTGGCGTATTCACTCCTTATCTTTGATATTTGCTAAAAGGATTACTATTTTTTTTTTTATCTATGCACTTGATTTGTTTTTCTTGTTGCAGGTGTGAGTTATTTAATACAGCTCTTGACCAATACGTGAGGAGCATTGCATAGTATATAAAGGGGTGTTTAGATCGGGAGAATTTACAAATTTTTCTCTGGAATCTTACTGATGAGTATTTGATTTCAACGTTTGGTTCAGGGTAATTTGATTCCGAATAAAAATGATAGATTCTCAATAGCACCCAAAATCTCAAAATCAGAAACTTATATATCCATGAGATATTTTAAGATTCTGAAAGGAAATGTTGCATTATTTTTAAATTTGATTTGAGTAAAAAATGTATGAAATAGCCGTTATTATTTTGAAAAGCATGTTTGAAAATAATTGCTTTGTTAAATTTTTTTTATATTACAATTAATGACGTTTGATATGAAAAATGTCTTAAATAAATTATTATTCAAATAAATATTGGTTTCGAAAAAGTCTTAAATGAAGATCATTTAAGGTGTTTGGGTTGAAGAAATGATTTCTAAAAAATGAATAGAAATATTTAAGGTGTTTTTAATTAAAAATGTTTTAAATAATTAATAAGGATTAAATAATTTTTTTAAAAATATAATAAGATTATTTAGGATGTTTTACAACTAAAAACATCTTAAATAATTATTTTAAAAAATCAAAATAATATAGTTTAAGACGTTCTTGCTAAAAAACTTTTTTAAAAAATATTTTCTTTCAAGTTTCAAAGAATTTAAAAAAAAGCTTTTTAAAGATTTTTTGCTGAAGTACGTCTTATAAAGTTTTTTTAACCAAAAATCAAGTGAATGCAAAAAAAAAATAATTTTTTTAAGGTGCTTTTCAGCAAAAACGTTTCAAAAATTTTTTCAACCAAAAACTAATTGATTGTAAAAAATTAAAAAAAAAAAAAACTTTAAGATGTTTTTATTGAAAAATGTTTTAAAACAGTGTTTTCTTTCGAGTTTCAAATGTTTCGTACTTAAAAAGTTTTGTACGAATAAGGGAAGTTGTGATTAATATCAGATCAAAATTTAAAATTGATATAGTCTAGAAGATTATAATAATTATTTAATAATTAAAGTACGTAAAATTTTTAATTAAATGAATAAATTTGAACATATAATAATTTAAAAATAAAAAAGTTTTCAAATAACACGTATTTTCAAATATCATAAATTTTTTTAAAATTTAAGATTTTACAAAGTAAATATCTTTTAAAAAAAAAAATCCATATCTGTGCTCTAAGGCACTTACTTTTCTACGTCGGTGCATGTGAAGAGCCAATTCCGTTGCATCTTTTTTTTTTTTTTTGTTATATTAAAAAGATAAAGTCTTAATATAAGTAAAGGGGAGGAGAATGTCTAACTTGAAATTGAATCTTTGATATTCCTTCAAACACTTTTAATCATTAAACCAAATGTTTAAGGACTCCCATACATTTTTAATACTGTAGTTTGGGTTACTTTCAGGCAGTTTTACACACACAAGTTGCTCCACGCACATCAGAAAATTATCATTCTAGAAGAAGTTTGTGGAACATCCTCCTTTTGTAGGTATCGTGTATAACAATTGCTTCAAATGTTTGTGAGGGTGCGATTTCATGGAGGTTTTATCCATTTATTATCTAATATTATTTGTATTGATTACCTGTGACTTTGTGATACAGTATACGGAATGCGGGTAAAATGAAAAGCAAAGCTTTTTTATTCCTTTCTGGAATTAACTTACATGTCTATCTCTAATCTCAATTAGGGTATGAGAAAGCAAACCATAAATGTTACATTGTTTTTTTACGTGATTTATGCTTTTATTCTTTTTATTTGTATGGGTTACAGGATGGATTCTAATTTTCTATGAACCATTCCTTCTCTGTAACATTTAGGAACCTGAATCCAGAAACAGATGCGGAGAGGTGTGGTGCACGACCTAGATATACTCCCTTCAGAAATGGTGAAATTCTGCTAATTTTGGAAGAAATAAGATCGAATTTGAAGACCAATGAACAAATCGTAAGTATTTGCATTTTCGCTTTCGATTTTGTTTTTCTAAAAAAAAGAAAAAGAATAACAAGAACGAAAAACTGCATTAGTCGCTAAGAACTTTTTGCCATTAAAATCTAAAGAGGAATGCTAAGGGGCACTCCTCTCTAACAACCGTTTTTCACATCCGATCTCTTAGAGACCACGTTAATTACAATGTCAACCTTTAAATTGGTAACTTCTCATTCTAAGTTATCACTTGTGAAAAGCTTTTTTTATTTAATCTTCCTTTTATCTTCTCTCTCTTAACTCTGCAAAACTAATAATATATCAAATTTTTTATTTTTATTTTTTTACTTTTTGTCTTCTCTCTCTATCTGCCTTAACGCTGCATTAATTAGAAAACACAAACTTATCTCGGAAGAAAGCACAATTCTATGCTACACCCACACCCAAACTTTCAATCACTTTGGCTCATCAAAAGTTAGATTATTGGTCAAAATTTTATTTTTTATAATTTAATTTATGAAATTTAATTTTTAAGGTATTCTAATATTTTTAATAATATCAAAAAATAAGAGTGATAGTTCTAAATTACGAATCCACCTCTCTCTAAAGTTTTTTAAAATTTATAGAGAAATATAAAATTTATCCTATTTTTAATCTTAATAATAATTTATTATAATCTATTTTACCATTGAAAATCAACATAATTACATAATAAATCGAGATCCATTCTGATATGCAAAATTATATTTTTAACCGCATGATTGAACACCTAATAATAATCATATGTATTTAAATTTTTACAAATTTAAATATTTATTCTCAATTGATAAAATTTTAGAAAGATAATGATTTTTAATTATAAAGATAGTTGAAAGATGAATAAAATAAAATTTTAATAAATAAACAATTTTCATTTACACAACATTAACGTAATCATATGTTATAATATATTATAAAAAAATTAATCTATATAACTCTAGATAAAAAGTATCTCAAAGATATTGATGATTAGACAAATGTACTTTTATGGTGGGTTGCTTTTTGTGTTTTCTTTGCCATTACATTGTTTCATTCTAAGCTTTTGAGTGTCGGCCATTGAATTTTGAGTTTAACTTAAGCACAGGCGAACATTTTTCTATCACTTTATTAAATTTTAAAAAAGATAAATTATAAATTATATACTATAATGTCATAAATAAATCATTTTTAAGAGGATGAAAAAAATTTTTCATCGATAATCAGTTAAAGATTGACGATTACGATTTATTTACTAAGATAGCATCAACACTTTTAAATTAGTTATCTATTATGATTATGAAAAAATTTTTCAATAATCAATTGTAGCTACAAACTAAGTGTTTTATTATAATTTTTGTTTAATAACTGCTCTTTTTAGAAACTTTATAACTTTGAAATACACATATAACATTTTTTTTTAATTTTATAGTAACTTTTTTTTCTAATTATTTTAACAAAGTTTTGTACATTTAATAATGCTAACTTTATATTAAATTATTTTAAATTCTAATTCAATCAAATATTAATTAAATAAAGTATTAAAAATTAATTTAACATATCAGACAAAATCAAGGTTCAACACTAATACAAAGATAATGGATGTCTCATACAATTTAAATTGAGGATTTAATTATGGCATGTGACACTGTTGATAAGAAATCTATGGATGCAAGGGCAGCAAAGGAAGTGGTGGTTGAATGTTTTAGTCTTTGAAGGTGAGATGTAGTTGGGTCCGACTTTTGATAAATGTTTTACGGATGATTTCAATTTTAATTTTTTGATTAGATGGCCTTCATCTCTTTTGCGCGGTGACTTGACAGATCCCTCTGCTTTGGATGGCATCTTAATATCGATTTTGTGGAATTTTCAGATTATTCAAGAGAAACTGTTTCAAGTGTGTCGGTGGGCAAGTGAGAATGGTTTCTTGTTGTAATAAAAACAACGTTCTTAAAAGAAAAACGTAATAAATTATTTCAAAATTAAGATTTTAAATATTTTTTATAATTTTAGAAGTATTATATTTTTAGTATATGAAACTTAATTGATCATAAAAAATAATTACAAAATAAATTTTATATTTTAGTATTAATAATATTTTTTAATATTAAAACATAATAATTGATAAAACATAAATTTTTTTATATAAAAGCATAATTATTGTTAATAGAGTCAATATAATATAATGTTTATTTTATTTTTAATTATGTTCGTACATAAAAATGTAGTAATTAATAAAATTATATTTTAGTTTATATTTTTTTATATCAATGATTATGTTTATTGTTATTGAAACGGAGTAATTAATAAATTGTAATAATTGATCACTTGAAATATATAATATTTTTAAGATAAAAAAACATAATTTTTGTTAAAAATATGATAAAATTTTTTTCATAATTTAACAAAAACGATATTTATAAAATAAAAAATACAGTATTTTATTAAAAATGTAAAAAAAATATTTTTGAATTCAAAAAAGATAATATTTTTAATATAAAAAAGTTTTTATTGAAAATTCGATGTTTTTAAGATAAAATTTTTTTTGTTAAAAACATGAAAAAAATATTTTTTAGAATTCAATAAAAATAATGTTTTTAATATAAAAATCCAAAGACAATATTCTTACACTAAAAATGCAGTTTTATTGAAAACATGAAATTTTTTTTCAAAGTTTAGTAGAAAAACTTCTTAGTTTATCTTGCAAAGTTGACTATGAATAATGCCTTCAATGAATTGGAGATTTTTTTTTCCATGGACTAATCAAGTTCTAGATTTCAAGCTCCTATTTTAAGTTTATTCCAATTTTCTTAATAAAAATTAATTTATTTGAAAAACATATGCCAGAAGACAATGACGTGAATAATTTTTTAACAGGAGTTGTTGGAAACTTAGCTCTGATGTCTGATCCACTTCAATAATTATCTACTTTATTTTTTCAATGATTCTCCGCAGCTTTAGATAGATCGTGTGTTTCTCATATTTTCACTTCATATAGATCGAAGCTGCCAGGAGCTCATTGTTTTTTCCTTGATCCCGGTCCTTTCTCCGTTTGTCTTTGTCAGATATGGAGCAAGCCATAGTTCTTTACCCTTCACCAGTGCTTACCCACCAGATGGCTATGGTGGAGCTAGGCAAGCTTCTACTCACTCATCAACCTTCACTCTCTATACACATCCTCATAGCCACTCTTCCTTTCCAAGCAGAGTCCAACGCCCCATTCTTCTCAGCCGTCTCGGCCACCATCCCTTCTTCCATCACCTTCCACAAGCTCCCCATCGTCACTCTCCCTCCGTCCACCCACCATGACACCGTTGTTTTTGATGTCCTCCGTCTCAACGACCCCGATGTCCACCATGCTCTCCGTACCATCTCGGATGACTACAAAGTAAACGCCATTATCGTGGACTTTTTCTGCAGCGTTGCACTCAAAGTGGCATCTGATCTGGATCTTCCGACTTACTGTTTCTACACTTCTTGTGCTGGATCTCTTGCTTCTTTACTTTATCTCCCCACCCTCCACAAGAACTTCACCGGAAACTTGGAAGATCTCAACCTTCTTCTTGATATCCCAGGTGTGCCACCAATTCCAACCTCAGATATGCCAACACCAACACTGAAACGCGACAAAAAGATCTATGAAATCTTCTTAGATATCTCCACCTGCTTGCTCCAGTCAGCTGGGATTATAATGAACACTTTCGAATCCATCGAGCCAAGGGCCATCAAAACGATTGGCGATGGACTCTGTGTGCCAGATTGCTCCACACCACCCATTTACTGCATCGGACCTTTCATTGCAAACGGTGGAGCTGCTGGTGGTGATATTGTTCCTGAGTGCTTGAAGTGGCTAGACTCGCAACCTAGTAAAAGTGTAGTATTTCTGAGTTTTGGTAGCTTGGGATTGTTTTCAATGCAACAATTGAGGGAAATAGCCGTTGGATTGGAGAGAAGTGGGCAAAGGTTCTTGTGGGTGGTGAGAAACCCACCTTCGGAGAATCAAAGCCCGGCTATGAACGAAAAAATGGACCCAGATTTGAATTTGTTGCTTCCTGAAGGGTTTTTGGAGAGGACCAAAGAGAGGGGACACGTAGCTAAATCATGGGTGCCGCAGGCAGCTGTGTTAACTCATGACTCGGTAGGTGGGTTCGTAACTCACTGCGGCTGGAACTCAGTGCTGGAATCTGTGTGTGCAGGCGTCCCAATGGTGGCGTGGCCACTTTATGCAGAACAAAGGTACAATAGGGTGTTGATAGTAGAAGAAATGAAGATCGCTTTGCCAATGGTGGAGTCAGAAACCGGGTTCGTGAATTCAACTGAGGTGGAGAAGCGAGTTAAAGAATTGATGGAATCGAAAGAAGGAAACTCAGTTAGGGAGCGAACCATAGCAATGAAACATGCAGCCAAGGCGGCGTTGACTGAGGGAGGTCCCTCTAGCATTGCGCTAGCCAGGCTTTTCGAGTCATGGACGCAGAAATCAGTGTGACTGATCTGGTTTTTTTTTTTTTTTCTTGATCCAACTAAGCTAAACAGAGTTGGAGTAGCACAATGGGTCGATCTTTAGTTGGACTTGGACCTTAATCTAGCTAGGCCCTTAAATAAGCCAACTGAAAGGAAAGCCTTCAAATCTAAAGAGGATCACATATCGAGTGAGCGAGCGAGCGTACGAGTCACCGTCCCAAAAGGATTGCCAATGGGTTACTGGTATGATTCCAATATGGCATTGTCTCCTTGAAGGCGTCTTGGGTCCGGAACTTCTACACTCAATCAGAAGTCTCTTAGGTGGTTTAGAACTTTAGATAGATAGATAAATAAATAGAGGAGAAGCTATTTTTGCTTTGGTGAAGTTTATTTGTAGTACTTCGTTTCCATAAACATTAAACAATTACAATTCCCTGAATCTCCTTTTTTTTTTTTTTACCTTGTTCATCTAATTCTTTTGCACAGTTGAATTGCAGGGAAATATTTGGACATAAAATTTTATAAGGTTCCTTTTATTTCCAAATTTTTTTTTAAAAATTTTTATATTTTCAAATATTTATTTGATAAAAAAATTAACTCGTCAATAAAAAATAATTTATTAATTAATAAAAAAATAATTTTAAAAAAAATTATCTTACCGTTTTTAAAAAGGAGAAGATGATTTTTGAAAAAATGTTATTTATTATTAAAACTATTTATCAATATGTTTAAACATAATTTTATTCAAATATGTCCTTATACATGATTTTTTAAAGTTTAAACTTAATTTGACCTAACCCAAAATATTATTATATTAATAAATAATAATTTTATTTAATTTTACTTAAAAAATTAAAATATTAATATTAAAAGTCTTTTAATATTTTAACTTTAAATACTTTATAATTTTACTCATGTAAGACTTTGAATATAATATTTTAAATTCAAATTTGATTTGATTTGATTTAAAATATTATTATATTAATAAAAATATTAAAATATTAACATTAAAAGTATTTTGATATTTCAAATTTAAATATTTTTATTTTGTATATTATTTAAACATAAATATTTTTAGTATTTCAATAATAAATAGTATTATATTACTATTTTAATAATAAATAATAAAATATAATAATAATATTATTATTTTAATAATTAACGTTAAACAATATAATAATATTATTTTCATAATATGAATATTTTAATAAATTTTTTATTATTTTTTAGTTTAAAGTATATAATTTTATATTTTTATTTATTAAGGTGTTTATATTACTATTTTAATAATAAATATAATTTTTTTTTGTTATGATTTAACAATAGATACTTTCGATATAAAATATAAATATTTAAATAGTATAAATATTTTAATTATAAATTTTACTATTTAATATTAATAAAATAATATTTAATATTTTAAAATATTAATATAAAAATAATAAATAGTTTTATTTTAAATATTTTTATATTAATATAATACTTTAATATTAAATATTATTATTAAAATATAATTATTCCTGAATATTAATAATTTTAATAATAAATAATTTCAGTATACTTTAATAATAAACAAATTTTAATATTTTAATAATTATATTAATATTATTTGAAAAAAAAAATTCAAAAAACAATCAAACAACAAAAAAAAGTTGTCATTAACTTATTCAAATTACAGAAAATCTTTAACTTTTCAATCAATATAAATATTTTTTTAAAAAAAATTTAAAGTCAATTTCAGACTAAATGTATAATTATTATATGTACTTTTGTCTTGTAGTTTTTCTTAGTTAATATAATGAAACAAAAGAAAGAAAAAAAGAATGAACGAGTTAAAAATAAAACACTCATGTGTAGAAGGAAAGAAAAAAAAAAGATTGAACTAAGAATAGAAAATAGGATAAAGTTACATTCAGTTTTTTCAATAACTATATGATTTGTTTGTTGTTAAATTTTTAATCAATTTAAATGATTAAATTCAAATTTCGATCATTTTAAATAAAAAAAAATTAAGTGGGAAGAATTCGAAGAGGGAGGTAACTGGTAAGGGTTGGTGAAGTAAAAGAATTTTACTTATGTACCCAGTGAATAATCCAGAAAATTAACCTTCAATTATCACTTACAATATGTTAATTGGTGGTAGTATCAAAAAACGTCCTTAAAAATGTCGAGTCTCAACATTCAAATGTAAGAAGACAAAGGGATCCACTGCCTGCCTTGTTCGAGGCATTTTCCTTCTTGTTTGAAAAACAATCATGACACAGCGCTTTCCGGCTTCTAGATGGACACGTCAATTTGACAAAGCTGTTGGCCTTTTTTTTTTTAAATGTTGAGCCGCTGAGGGACACTTTAATTTAAGGATCATAGTTAGTTGGGTGAAAGTTCTAAAATATACCATAGTTGTTAAGCGTTAACCGGAAAGCGGAAATAAATTAAAAAAAAAAAAGGAGAATGAAGTTACTAGCACTTGCAAGATAGAATTAATTTTGAGGCACCAAAGAAAAATTTTCTGCCTTGGAATGCGATTGGGCTGTTATTTGTTTCCTTTACATAGCTTTGCCCACGAATCATTTCTCTAAAGAAGGTTCTACTACCATTGAAAATAAAAACAATAGGGAAAAATCAGTCACTAAGGCATTGATCCAATTGCAACATAAGCCAATGAAGTCAAGGTTTCAAGCTCACCTACTCGCCTAACGCGTTTAAGTGTCAAGAAAGCATAATATGTATGTACTAGAAGAAGTGACTTCTTGCACCATTGTTTTCAAGGCAAGTTCTCATTCCCTCTACCAATTATTTCAAATCTATTATCCCAATTCCCATTTTTTTCTTCATGTTCAATTTATCTATAAATACTTGCTAATAAGCCCCACATTTCTCATATCATTCTTCACTCCCTTAAGGACTTGAAAATTTTTTTCTCAAGCTTTTGAGTTGGTAATTAGCATCAACAAAAATGGAACAGAAGAGCCAATCCCCATATCCATTGGCACCCGGTAATAGCCTTTCCCAAAGTGACCCAGAGTCTGTCGCGGTTCAGTCAAAAGAGGTAAAGAAAAAGAAGAGAATGAAGTGCCTGTTGTATATTGTATTGTTTGCTTTGTTCCAGACTGGAATTATATTGCTTTTCGCCTTGACGGTCATGCGTATCAGAAACCCAAAGTTTCGAACGCGATCAGGGTCATTTGTTGACACATTTGATGTTGGAACCGAGGCTTCCCCTACCTTTAATTTGCGAATGAATACTCAATTCACGGTAAAAAATACAAACTTTGGTCACTTTAAGTACGAGCTTGGTACTGTCACGTTTGCATACAGGGGCACACCGGTTGGCCAGGCGACTATTCAGAAAGCTCGAGCCAGGGCTAGATCGACGAAAAAAGTTGATGTTATAGTGGATTTGAGGTCGAGCAGTTTGTCAAAAACTAATGAATTGGGAAGTGATATTAGCTTGGGGGTTCTACCCCTGGCCAGCTACTCAAAGTTGGAAGGTAAGATTCATCTGATGAAGGTGATCAAGAAGAAGAAGTCTGCCCAAATGAATTGTACCATGGAAATTGACATTGCCTCGAAAACACTTGGAAATATTCTATGCCACTGATATGCTAGCTGCCTTGTTTTAGGTTATGGACTTTGATTTTTTGCCTAGGGATTTTGTTTTCTTTTTTTACTTGATTTCTGTCTTATGTGTTTCTTTATTTTTTTTTATTATTATTTTGATCCAAGGGGGACATATATGCATGTTGATATGGTAGTCCCTCGTTCGCGTGCCTGTTCTTTTTTTCTTTTTTTATTTATTTACCATGGTTTTCATGAGAAATTATATTTTAAGATCCTTTTGTCAATTTAATATTTAAATTGCTTATAAAAACCTTATTTTATTTTATCTTTTGATGCAAGACATCGTGACTGATTAATATTCGTTGCTCAAATTTACTAAGAATTGCTGTTATATATATATATATATATAAAGTTGGCTATCGATCATTTGTACTAATATTTACTTTTGTTTTGGAAGTAAAAAAAGAAAAATGGAGAAATGCCTCTGCATAGAGTTTGTTGCAAAGCCTGGTTTTGAGTTAACTAATGGGCCTAGTCCATTCCCACCTATGGTAATCTCGCCTGTTCCTCGGCAATTGTTTGGCCCAAAAAAACGAAAAGGGTACAAAAAAAAAAGTCACAATTTTGTGATCACAACCCAACAAAGGACAAATCCAGTGAACTCAAGCAAATTGCTCAAGTTTCCGGAGGATGTAATGTTTCCTAACAATAAGAATCCTAATGTTGGGAAAATGGGTCCATCAGCATCCCAAATTTCCAACATCTATGGTGGCCTAATGCAACTGCTGCTAAACGGCACCTAAAATGTTAAGTCAAGATCCAAGAGCAGAAAGAGACGTATGATCAGCAGAAGAAACAAGGCAAATTCTTTTGTTGTGCCGCTTCTCTGTTTGTGTAGCGTTGTCTTCCACTTTTCCTCTCTTTGGAAGAATGATATAAGTTGCAAGTTGCAAGAGCAGAGAGAGAGATGGTTTGTTGACGACCTTAACTCCATCTAATGAAAAATCCAGATTTCAGGTTCAGTCCTGAAAAGTTGAAGTGGAGTAAAAGCCTTTTTCAAAAATCCTAATCACTGTTCTCTTTTTCATTTTACTTTTTCTTGGTGGAGAAAAAACAAAGAAACATGATGTGAAGGATTTGATACATAAATCCCTTGAAGAACATTACTCTCCTCGTGTTTGTGACCTATAAGCTAGACAAATGCTATCAAATCGGATTGAAGATGTGCATTGGTCAAGTTGAAACTAAATTTTGAGAGGAAAGGTAAAACTTTGAGGTCAAAATCGTGTCACTCCTAGTTTGCTCCAGGCCTGAGGGATGAACAATGCAATTTGCAGATTTACTTGCTTTAGATTTCCTTAAGCGCTGGTGACATACTTATCTATTGAATTCCTCAAATATATCCAGTGGCACTCCATCAAGGAAATAATACACTTGAATAGTTGAACTACAAGAATCTACATCAAATATAAAAAGTTGAAGGCAATTGAATAGGTCATAAGCTGGAACAGAAAAGGTTCGACCATCTTTAGTTCAAGTGATGTCCATTAATAATGGGTCTTGGCTTGTTGTTGGTCTTGACTGTGTGAAGTAGAGACCGGCACTATTTGCCCTGCCGTAAGGGGGACCAAGCTATTTTGTGGTGCACTGTAGACCGTGGAGTCTGGAAACGAGGGGTGGGCGCTTTTGTTTTTGTGGTCATTTTGGCTTTCCCTGTCATTATGATGGTGTGGTTTGAAAATTTTGGTTTACTAGTTGCTGCAAACAAAGATGTTGTTCCTCGATTCATTTATTGAAATTTCAAACTTCACGGATTCACATACCCATTTCATTATGTCTCTAGTTTGGAAGTCGCATTGCGAAATATCATGCTATAGATTTTTGTTCCTTTTTCTTGTCTCTAATTACCTTTCTTTGCAATTGAAAAATGAAGTGTATATAGTTACAAAATCCTACTGGTCATTTTCCATTACTAGATGAGCTATAGCAGTAAGGAGAAGCATTACTTTTTATACTTTATGGGTCTCAGTTCCTTGTCATTAAGTATAGTCTACGGCTCTTTTTTTTGGATACAAGCCTAGAGTCTCCCTTTTACATATAATGTTCATTGATTGTGAGATATTAAATTCAAGAATACAATATTGAAAGTGCAAAACAAACAACTCGACTTTTACTAGATACCCAACAAAGGAAACGGGTAGATCGGCCAACTACTAAATGGACAATTTGAATCATAGATGAGAAATGAATTATTGTTTTGAGCGAGGACCCAGTTGTGTTGTGAGCGTTGGATAAGAAAATTCAGAATATAGACAAAGAACTTGTGGGAAACAATTGTCCATGGTATGATCACCATGGCATACTTTCTGAGGAACCATATCAACGAGTATATCAGATCTGAATAGACCATGGATACAGTGGACTAAGGCATAAAACTTTCAACTTCAATGGTACAGGAATATATGAGAGTATACAGGAAGGATAGCCAGAGGGAGACTCGGAGCTCGGAGCATGTGTTTCAATTGCTTAAGCCTTTTTTTTTTTTAACTTTTGAATGAAATGAAATTAGACTTTAACCATAACCAAGTGAAACTGCTTTCTTACGATACCGTTCAAAAGTGTTTTTTAAAGCAGGATGAAACTGCAGAGATATCATCATGTGGCCCCTTTCATTTTTTTGGTAGTGTTTAAAACAAAAAACCAAAATTTTTTTAGAAGTATCTATGGCTTCGCTTTCCTGTTCAAACTTGCATTAGTCATTCTCTTTATTGTTTGGTTTGTTTTTCTACTGCAATTTCATGGGTGTGAAACTGTTAATCGATGATGTTAAAACATGGAAAGATTTGAAGAAGCAAAATTATTTATATATTGTAAAAATGCAGTGACCATCTCACTAGTTAATATTCCCATTGCATCCTTGTCCAACTTCTTCCCTTTCCCAGTTTCCCATCAAATTCCCACCAGAAACTACCAGTTGTCCTGAAAAAGGCATAATCACCCAAGAAAATGAAAGAATAAAGTGGAGAAAACTGTTAAGTCATTTCAACTCCTTCAATTCCAGAAATGATCACATCTTTGATATGAACAGCTTACCTTTCAAAGGTAACATAATGCTTAACTGCAGAAATACAAGACCATACACAGTCACCCAACAACAAAAAGAAATCCAAATATAAAGGTTACTTTCAATTTCTTCATAATGACCCATCACCTTAACATGTGAACCTACTCTATTCACTGCTCAGCACAGCTAACAATCAAACAACAATCCTAGCCTCTCTAAATTCTTTTCTTTTTCTTTTCCCTTTCATTTTTTTAACGTCGTCATAATAAAAATCAAGGTCTCTGTCCAATATTTTCTTTCTATTGCTTTAATTAACAACATTTTTTCCCGAGATTTCTAGTACTTCGTCAGGTGCTGAAGACAGTTCCTTCTTCACTAGATATTCTTGCGGAATCCATCAGTTTCTCGTATGAGGAATTGCTTGTAACTCGTGACAAAAGAGAAGAATCTGAGGAAAATAAACAGTTTAATTAGTACTTAAGAAGTAGATTTAAGGTTTTAACACTCTAATAATAATTAGTGCAAATACTATTACTTAGAGACAGTGTGAAACTACACCTGTAGAAGATGCATTGCTTAGCTTCTCTTGTGAAGAATCACTTGTACATCTCGACAACCAAGAAGATTCTGCTATCAAAACAAGAAACACAAGCTAAGCATCGAATTCCAAATTAAACAAAACAAAATTAATTACTATAATTAATACCTCTATTTGAATTGAAAGATTTCTTGCAATGCAAAATGGCGCTTTGGATCCCATCATGTTGCAGTAGCTGCGTATCGTCTCTCCTATTAATTGGTGATGAGGCAGCCGAGGCTGATCTGCTCTTTCCCAAGTGCTTGCAAACCCCTTTAACCCCTGTTGAAAGATTCCCCTGTTTCTCCTTCATGGAATATACCGTTGATGGAGAAGCCACCGGGGATAACATTGATAAGTCGCCTAAGACTTTTGTCTTGTCACTTTGACTGTTCTTTTTGGAGACTTTCACATACAATGGCTTGATTAAATTCAGGTATTTCTGTATTCGATCTTTCGATAATCTCTTTGAGGAATAATCTGAAAACGAATCCTCTGTTTTGCCTTTTGTTTTCCGCAACCTATTTTCACTGGTGAAGATTGGGAGGTTTGAAGACTCCTCTATTTTGAATTTCACTTTGAAATGTTCGCTCTTGCCTTGTTTTTCATGCTTTGGGGTCTCCATAGAAATACCGAGGAACTCTGTTTTCTCTGCTGCGTATGTATTACAGGTATTTGCCATTGACTCTGACTTCTTAAGAGTAAAGAGTCGAAACTTTGGAGCAGATTTTAACAGAGCTATGAGAGATTGAGGCTTGGAGCTTGGCTCAATGGGAATGATCTTTCTTTTGGAGAAGTGATCATTCGGAGACAAAGAACGAGTGTGCTGTGGCAAGTCGAGCTCTTTATCACCAACATTCTTAGCCGGTTTGTGGAATGCTCGCTCTTCCTTGGAGTCGAATCTTTTCTTGTCTTTGACACCGTTCTCTTCATGGCTGTTGCCGTGGGCATTTCCCTTGTCGTCAAACTCATGTATAGGAAGCTCCAAGTCAATGAAAGAGTCCTCTCCTTCATCCAACTCATGATCTGAAACAATCAAAGACTTTGGAATCTCCGTGGTGCCACTGTTTTCACAACAAGGTTGGTTTTGGTTCTCTTTGTGAGCACCATAGCTATGTTTCCAAAATCTGAGAAAATTGAGACCTTCCATGGTAATGGAAAGAGAGAGAAACAAAGAATGTAATAGAGTTGTGTATTTTTTAGAGTTCTGTTTAGTGGGGTTCTAATTTTTTTTCTTTAATAGGCGAAGTAGTTCAGCTCTCTCTCTTGAGTAAACAAAAAACGCTAAAAAAAGGAAACCCTTTGCACTCCGTTTTGTGGGTGGGACGAGAGAAATTGAAAATGGTGAATCATGGTACCCATAGAGTCCAGAGAAAGAAAGGGATAGCTTTGCTTTTGAACAGTGTTTATTTGCAGGTTTGGTTGTTTTCACCTGCAAAAGAAAGGAATTGTTTGCGTGGATACAGAGGAAGAGCAAGTGACCGACCCCGTGAGAGTGAGCAAGAGAAAGACAAATCTTTGCAAATGATGCAATTACTCTGTAAAAAGTTTATAGTTTTACTATTCTTTTAGATTACGATACCGAGAAAACTCAGATCTACTGTTACAAATTCAGACTTGCAGGCATTGGGACTCAGCCTTTTTTACTTTCTCAAGACTTCTCAGCAAATTTTGAATCCTGGATTTACATTTGCCCCACGCGCAGTCTCCATCACTACTGTTCTTAATTATATTTGTTAGTTTTTTAGTACTGTTCTCAGTTTCGTTCCTTATCTTTTCCCTTTACTTTCATCCAGTATCGGGTTTAACTTTGGACGGTACTTTTGCCTTGGACATGACCAAAATCAGGCTGCTGCTACTTTTGGTTTTTAATTTCTCAATCAATTGTGTTCGGACGATGAATTATTTTATTTACATTATATTATCAATCCCATTAGCCATTATCATTTTTGTAACGATAAAAGACTTCATTTGCATGCATGATAAGATTAAAAAAAAAAAAAAGAGATTAATTAATGAAATAATAAAATTAAATATTATAGTGATAAAATTAAAATTACTGATAAAATATGTATTTGGATATAAAAATAAGTATTATAAAATTAAATATATAAAATAATAAATATAAATTAAATTTTGATATAATAAATTTATTTAATATCTATGATGTTAAAAAATAATTAAAATTATTTTATAATAATAAGTTTATTAATAAATAAATAATTAAAATTATTTTTATAATATTACATTTGTTATAAATAATTGAATACAACCCATAAGCCTACTAGCATTGGGGTTTTATAATTAGAAGCATTTAAAAAAAAATACATTAAATTAAAGAGGATAAAAGTGTTCAGTTTGCCTATGGTGAATTTTGGAGCCTTTGGTGTGGATTAAAAGATTTAATCTCACCATTCCTATGTTAGTCAAAACATTATTTCACGGTGAGATTGGCATGAAAGGGAGCTCAAACGTATTGAATTGACAATTTAGTTCTATCCAAGTGGAATCTAGGATTATTTAAGGTGGATGAAAAAATTAATTTTGATAAAATTAAAAATAATGATAACAGTGAAATTATATTACATTGAGTATGATAAAAATAAAATTAAAATCAACAATAAAAAAATATATTTGAATGTAAAACTAATAATAAAATATTTCTTTTTTACAAGAGCAGTCGTTTATCCTAAAGTTCAATTATTCACTAAATCATTTGCCCTCTAATATGTGATGGGAGGATAATAAAAATAATTGCATCGCCAAAATGCTATTCAAATGCATTTTCGATTCAATAAAATCTTAAAATAAGGTTGAATTTTCCAGGAAAACAAATCGTGTCCTAAAATTTCAAATAACAAATTGTGGATGATATTGCGAGCATTTTGGTGCACGGCTTTGTAGTCAACTCAATGTTTCTAAAATGTTGGAGTAATGTCGGAAATGAGACATAGCCATCCCCATTTTATTCAAAGTCTAAGTCAGCTAAAATTGTTTGACTTATGGTTGGTTCCTGATTCATCAATTTCCAGCTTCCAGGGTCCTATTCAACGATTAAGAAGTAACTAAACCCCTAAAAACCGTTGGACTGCCTGTGCTTCCATACATTACTAAAACATCAAACTTATATAATAATCCTAATTGAACTCGAACTCATGAACTTTGTTCAAGGAGTTTCAATTTCATTTTAAAACTTTCATATGTAGAGACTGGTATACTTTTAGATAAAATTACTTAAAATCTACAAATTAAAACATTCAAATGTTAATTTGAGTATGAAATATTTGATAATTCGTTTATTAATTTATTTATTTATTTCATAATTAATATATGTAAAATATAAAAATTATCATATCATAATTTGTATTAACATATCAAATATAAAATATATTTTTTGAGTTTTTTATATTCATATATGATTTTACTAAAATTTTAAAATATATCACATTTAAAATTATCATATAAAAATAAGAATAACTTCACAAACATTTCATGTGAATTACGACCTTTTCACTTATACCTCACATAAAATTTTTTTTCTCACGTATAATCTTGTGGTTTACTTATGTTATAAAAATGAATAATGACATTAAAATCAAATAAATTTTAATAAAATTAGAAAGTTAGTCTCACCTTTTTTATTTTAATCCTGATTATCCCTTTATGATAATAAAAATAAACCATAAGATTTTACATAAAAAAAATTTAGACTACAAGATAATATTTGGTATCGTTTTTAAGATCACCATAATAATATAATTATCGAGTCAAGATGATTTTATTACTCGTAGTTTAAAATCATTTTATTTAGTTAACAATTATTAATTCGTACAAATAAAAATGATTGTATTTGATATTATTAAAAATTAAATATTATTTTATTTAAAAGTACGAAAATAATCATCTTTATTATAATAGTTATATAAGTTAATAATTTAAATATTATTTTAAAAATAATTCATAAAATATAGTAATATTATATTATATTTTATAATAAATATAATTAAATTAATAAATTAATAAATATTTTATTAATTAAGTAAATTAATTTTTATAATATAAATGATGTAAAAAAGCATTTGGATTAAAAAATAAAACTAATCTATTGAAATTATAATAACAAAACAAAGACATTATATTATATATTAAACATTAGAAAAATTAAAAAATACACAAATTATTTTTAAATATATTATAATGAATATTAATTTGAAAATATAAAATAATTATAATTTTAAGAGATATCAAAATTTGAATTCACATATTAAATAAATAATATTAATTATTTATTAATTTTACTCCATGATAAAAGTTTTTCATTTATTTGGTAAGAATTAAATATTTTTTAAGATAATGATTTAATTATTATCAATAATTTAAAATTATTATCACATAAAATTATTAAATATTTATCAAATACAATGATGTAATTATTATAAATAAATTATTATAATTTTTTAAATGATCATCCTATTACGAATATTATCAGGTGAAAAAGTCACAACACGCGGTGCATGTACTTTAAAAAGTAATACAAAATTTAGAAGTGTAAAGGCATGCTACGCCATAAGGAGGCGCGTGGAATGCGAAAAGAATGAAAGCTCTTTTAATGCAGACGTAGTTTGACGAGGATTATGTTGCAGAAGACAATATGAAGGCGACCAGAAACTTCCAAAAAAAAAAAGAAAAAAAGGGTTCTTTGTTAGAAACGAGAGACTACTTTTCCACATGGTCTTAAAAGATCTGGTTGGTTTTCTACGGGTCAAGGCAGTGGCGTAGCTGTGGGCACGCATGTAATGTAATGCTTTGGGAGCCTTAGCGATAGCTTTGAAGAGGTGCAACTCTACATTTTTGGAGTTGGGGGGAAAGGGTCCAAGTCTTACCGCAAAAGGCTTGCTGAGATGGGTTTTGGGTGCCTTAGCCCTTCTTTTGAATGGTATTTACAGGAAAGTCAAAATGAAAGTGGAAGCTCTTAGCCCAAAAGAACCAAAAGTAACCTTACTCATATCACTTTGGAGTAGCACTTCTTTTTCTTTTTTAAGATGCAAACACAAAGTAGTAAAAATAAAAACAAAAAGTTGCACGTTAATCATATAATTTCTCTTGCCAAGAAAGAGCATGTAGTTTTCTTTTCTGGCAAAAAAAAAGAACATAATTTTCTAGTTCCCTTGGATAGTATCCTAGGCACTCTCTTATCTGTTTTCCCAGTAAGCAAACAAAAAGAACAGTGGCATTATCGTGATTATCAAACGAAGTATTAAATTCATCTATATATTGATTTGGATATATAGTTACAGCTAATTATGCCTTAATCTAAGTTAAAAACCGAAACTTTTTTCAGTATAAATTAGGTCACAATTTATAATAAAAAAATTATAGATGTTAAGATTTAATTTTAGACTTAATGAATGTCATTTTTAAAATTAATTATATGAACTATCTTAACTAAGCTATTGGATTCTTAAAAACTGAAACTTTGATAACATAAGCAATGTGCATTTCGCGGCTGCTTCCAGTGAACATTTATATAAGATGGCATGTACATAAACTACAATGTTTTGTACTACTTCATTACTTCTGAAAGTTCCATCCCATGTTTATGGCATGTACAAAGTCTATTTGAGACCTTGTCCGGCTTCAGCTAACTATTATTGTTTTTTTAGATAGAAAGAAAAAGGTTTGGGCTGACTCCGTCTACCATATGCATTGCATCATTATAATGATATACATCAGCAAAGTCACATTTACCATATGTACACATAATCTACAAGAAACCAAATCCAACAAGCGTTCAGATTTTGTTTTATACCATGGCATAATTATCATGAGTTGCAAGATTCTGTGCCCTAAATCATGACGGGTACCTGCAAGTTGGGAATTTTTTTATGCTTTCTTTGTCTTTAAGGGGGAAGAGAGGGATGTTCCCCACCACCATCATTGCCATTTCAGCCAACATTCTATTCTACCGTTCCCTACCCGAATTGAATTCCCTTTTCCACTCAATAGCCCACCATGGATTTTTGTTCTTCTCTTTGATTTGTGGGTGTGGTTTGGTGTATAAATCTCTCACGCCTCTTAAAAAGTCTCGGAAATGTTGGCTGCTCTTGTCGATGCTTTAGGAATTCTGTGAATTTTGTTTGGAGACGGTGCGCGGGGTCTTCATTGAAGGAAGATTACGTTGTCTTGTCTCTATGGCCTGTTAGCTGCCTCTATTTAGGCTTTGGACGAGGCTCATGGGCTAAAGGTGTTAATCACTCAGTCTCGTTGCAATTCTTTTGGGCCTTACAGATGCTAGTCTGTAAAGGATGAGAATGGCTAGCATTGAATCGCCAGGCAGTTCACCCGTCCGGTTGATAGCCATCATGAACACATTTTCTTCATTTAATAGTTTATCCAACTCAAATTTCAAATTAAATAATGCATTCAAAGAAAGAATATGATGTAGAAAAAAATTGATGGACTCATATCCAGAATATACTAATCGATATAAACATCTCGTGGCCATATTTAAATCATTTTCTCACCGAAGAAACTATAAATCATGGAAAGGAAAAAAACCTGCACTTACCCTAGTTAATTTTACGAGCTTTGCTGAATAGAAAAGCAAAGCCTGCGATAGAAATGCTAGACGTAATAGACAAATATTTAAACTATCG